ACAATTCAAGGTTTTGGTTAGCTTGCTAATAGATATGAGATTGCATGTAAAACCAGGTATGTACATGACATTGTTCAAAGTAATAAAAGGGTTAAGGAAAGCATCTCCACAAGACTTTGCTGACAAGAACGATCCATCTGGGATTTTAATGGGTGAAAATTGAGACACATGTTTAGGTGAAGTGAGGGATTTCTCAAGACACGTCATGTGGTCGGAAGCACCCAAATCCAAAACCCATTCTATGGCACTATTGGACAGTGAAGTTGCCTTACCCGCAAAGTTGGCTATGGAATCATTTTTCTTATCAAGATGAAGCATGGAAATGAGTTGAGTGTACTACTCATTGGTCAGCCCACTAATTGGTACAGTATTGCTATCTCCATCAATTTTCACACGGTGTGAGCTGTTGGCAGTTTTGATTTTGGATGAACTCTTCTCTTTGTCCCACCATTCTAGGTAACCATGCAACTCAAAGCAATTGTCCTTTGTATGTCTGGTCTTTTTGCAATACTCACAGAATTGCTTGGATAGGTCACAGTTGTTTGAGGACCTGCGGCTGGCATGATTCCTGTTGGTATTGCTGGTGCTGAAAGCTACTGCCTCGACAGCAGGTAACCTGGATGTTGTGACATATTGTTGACGCTCTTCTTGTGTTACAAGTGCATAAGTGCGAGACAATGAAGGCAAAGGATCGGTGTTCAGAATCTGTGACCGCACGGTATTGTATTTCTCATTTAATCCCATTAAAAACTGATGTACCTTTTCTTTTTCCCTTTCAACGGTTAGTGCCTTCACAGAGCCACATGTACATTCTTTTTCCCTTTCAACGGTTAGTGCCTTCGCAGAGCCACATGTACACGGTAGGATCTGAGAATATGTGCTAAGTTCATCCCAAATCGCCTTCAATTTTGTGTAATATACCGAAACGGTCATTCCTTGCTGTAAAGTGTTCATCATCTCGGTCTTCAACTGGTGAATACGAGGAGCGTTACCTTGTGAAAATCGCTCTTCAAGATCATTCCACATCTCTTGTGCCGTCACGAAATATGCCACGCTATCATGAAGGGAAGGGTAGAGTGAATTAAAAATCCGTGAAATAACCATGGAATTACATTTGATCCACGCGGGTTCTTCCGACAAACCAGATGTTGGGCGTTTGACAGACCCATCTACGAAGCCGAACTTGCTTTTGGCTTGGAGTGCGTTTGTCATTGCTCGACGCCATGTGGCATAGTTTCTTCCCTTAGTAGACAGGTTACTAAGGCTATGCCAAGGTTGTCTGATGCATGGAGCACATAAGGCGATGCAGCATCATAGACGGATTGGTTGTTGTTTTGGTTGTTGCTGGAATTGTTGGAAGCCATTGGGAAGGGGCTCTCTCCAGCCATAGAAAAATTCCCAAGGTGTTCGACCGCATGATGAAATAAAAGAGACGGCAAAAAGCTTCATTCAATTATGGCAGAAAGGTCTCAAATAAATATACATGATGAGGATTGATACGGAGGCTCTAAAAGAGGAAAAGTAATAATAAGGAAATATTCCAGTAATAGATCCTATAATGGTGCCCAATTTAATTTGTATATGGAATATTTCCAATATCAGCATTTGGTATTACCTTGTGCATCGCCCTCTTAAACATGGCTTTAGCATCCTTAACAATCCTACACTTATACATAACATCGAGCAACAAAAAGGGATAGAAAATAGGAACAAATGGTAGTGAATCGTGACTGATGGCAACCATATATTCCTCAAGAAACTATGAGTAGTAGGTAAAGCACGAGAACTTATGGTCGGCACAGTATTGTGAATACATTCAGTTTATTGTCCCGATATATACAAATGTAGAAAATACGTGTATTCGGAAAGTGAGGAGAGTATTAGACTTGATGGACGATCGGTTCTGAATTCAAGGACACAGCCATACACAATTTGTTGATAGAGCCACCTAAAAAGAATATCTCACAGTAGCCAGTGATTTGTGAAGGAGAAAGCACCACAAAATGGGCTATTGGGCTTTATTCAATCTTGTCTATAATTTATTTCCAGGGCCAAAAAATGGATTTTGTTAAGCTTGTTAACTACGGTTATGAGAAGTTTAATTTGTTTTAATGTATTAATCTAAGGGGAAACTGCACAACTATTACATTATAACAATCACATTTCAAAACTAACAATCTTGTCAAATTATTTCAAGAGGCAGTTGTTAAATACAATAAAATATAATTTAAAATATATCCAGAAAAATCAGGAAATATACCATTCATAACAGATTTTCACCACTCTCTCAAAATCAAACACTCACTTTCTCTTTATACATTCCCAATCTTCATCCACCTCGCGATCTCTCTCAATTCTCGATCTCCCTAATTTTTCAGCAAAATCACCTTGATCTCTCCATAAATCTTCAATTTTGAGCTATAATCAGGGTATGAAGTCACTATACAGCACAATAACTTGTGAATGTCAAGCTGCATGAGTCGTATCTCTTTGCTAGCTCAAAGAGGATCTTCCATAGCCAGATACAAATTTTCTTTGACCATATTTTGAAGGTATGTGCTTGAAGAAGTCCCCAGAAGCTTATGAAATTACTCAATTCATATTTTTAAAAACTATGGAAGTCCCCTGTAACATTGATCAGATTTTGATTTTTGAAAATATATGTGCATTTTGCCCAATTTGTGACCTCTGTTTTCTACTTTTGCAATCAAATGGTATGCGTTTGTAAGCAATGTCTGATTTTAAAGCATGCTAATGTATATTATCTTTTGTGTACAAATCTAGGCAAAAAGTTGTTTGGATCATTGTTTATTGTCAATGTGACTATTTGTGACCTTATAAGTGGATCATTCACATTAGCACGTCTCTATTAATTGTGATTATCTGTGACTGTCGAATATAATATGTTGTGACATTTTTGTTAAAGTATCGTGGACAGTTGGATATGAAATCAAAAGAATATTCAACCAATTTCATTGTATTTGTAGTGACTATTACTGTGCTCACATTGTGTGACTTTGTCTACAGGTGATGTAAATAGTGTGGCCTACACTGATAAATGTGTGACATGAAGTTTGTCAACATTTAGAAAATTCTTATATTTTAAACAAAGTGCTTGAGATATATCTCTATTGCTACCTCTACGTTTTTGGATTTTTATAAAGTACATGTAACATGGTATTATCTGTTTGTAATCAAGTATGGGAGTTTTGCATGTTTGCCTATTGTACGGAGGTCACACATCCCTAGTACAAGTGAAAGATACGTGAAAGTTTGACGAATTAGTTGACCTTTTTATTTTAGAATTGAGATTTAATTATGTAGACGTAGTTGTGACAATGACGTATTCGTTGGATTCTACTTTGCCTCCAGTCTGAATTCTAAGTAACAAAAATGTCGTAATGTATTTACAACTGAAATCTATAGATGGAACTATATCGAGTTATCCTATAAGAGTTGACGTCTTAACCGTTGATCCATTGCAAACAAGATGATCATTGCAATTCCCAGAGTCATCAAATAGTGTTGTTTCTTCGTCAAGTACTATTTTTCTTTGCAACAAATAGCTTTCAGCATTTGTGACTCAGTTGTGAATACTGAGAAATGAAACATTGATGAGGATGTGATATTAGATCCCATGCGGATGCGAGAAAAATACTGGAGGGAAATATGTTTTGCAACAAGAAAATACTTAAAACAAACTTGACTTTTTATGCATTGCAAAACAAGTTTGAATTAATGTGTTGAGATAAAAAAAAAACGAATATGTGGTAGAGTGTGCACAGAGTGATTGCAAATGGATATTCAAGTCTTCACGTTTGCGGGCAACAAAAATGTTTAAGATCAGGGAAATGAGTAGTGGTCACCCATGCTCCATGTATATTATTTTAGGATCTCATTGGCAAATGTCTAGCTCCATTGTGTCAAACAACAACAGGTACAAAAATATCCTATCACGAACAATAAACACTCCTAGCGATATATCAAATGTTATGTCACATAAATATAGAGTATCGATGAATTACGTGAAGGCATGGAGAACACGTGGACTAACATTGAAGTTGATTAGATGTGTGATCTAACAATATCGTTTTAGTTGCTGCTTTCTTAGTTCTGTATGCTACAACTAATAAACGTGTGAACAGTCACAATAATAGAAACAAATCATTTGGAAGGATTTAATTATTGCTTTATGGCTTTGGATACATTGATCGCTGGATTGAAATATTGTATAGCAGTCATTGTTGTTGATGTAACATATTTAAATGGCCACTACGGGGTGACAATATTCACAGTTTGCACACAAGATGCAAACATCTTCATGCTAGCTTTTGGGATAGAAGACAACGAAAATGATAGTTTATGAACATGATTTCTTAACATGATGAAGAGATCAATGGATCGAGACACAGACTATATATAGTATCAAACGAATAAAATAGTATAAGAAATGCGATAAATTTGTATTTCCAAAGGTAATTCATAAGATCTAATCATACCATTTGCTTAAACATTCGAAGACCCATTACATAAAATTAGGTCACAACATTACACATGTATTCAACTCTACAATACAAACGTATATGGTGAAGAAGCTTAAATAACAAATGTAGCAATTGGACTCAATGAATGAAAAGATCATGGGATATCTGGTATGTGACTGTCTATAACTTATATTGTGATTGTCTGTGATTTATACAGTGATAAGGTTGAATGTTTGCAACCAATTTAGCCTTATTTGTGACTATCTGTGACCATGTTTGCTGTGAATGTATTTGAACATGTCTAAAATAGTTGTGAGTTATTGTTACCTATAATCAATATATAATGTTAGATGTTGTTAACTGTAATTTATTATAACTTCGATTAAAATAACTTTATTTCGTGAGTGGATATTGGATGTGAAAAATGGTCTAGATTGCATGTGTCAACGAATAGCTACTTTACTATGACTTCAAACAAAGTTGAATCTATGAATACAGTCACAAAGGTAGCAAAAAATACCCAATTAAATCACTTCTTAAGTCATTACGACGAATGGTCCAATCTTGATTTTGCAAGAATGAGCACAATGCACATGGTACCTTCACAAAGTTTGCAACCTGATACTAGAAGCTACTAAGGAAAATGAGCCATGATATGTGAAATCTAAAGTTAAATATGAATCTTAATATAAAGATTATGATGGTCACATTGATGTTTAGCACTCTTAAATTGACAAGAATGACCTTTTTTTTATGTATTCCTTGCAAGTAACACTTTATGTTGAGGTGACGAATGATTTTTCATACTACATGATTGACATAACTCAACACACATGTACTTGTAAAATGTTTCAAGTAGATCAACTTTCTTGTCTATAAATGCTAGCAATGTTTGTAATAACATTGAAGCTGGATGTACATGATTTCTGCTCGAAGTATTATATGACAGGTGCATATATGAATACTTACAAAGAGATAGTTCTACCCGTTGGTGATAAAGCGGAATAGAGTATATTGGAAGATGTGAATAGCAAAATCATACTTGCACCAAACTAAAAGAGAAGTTTTAGCAACCCTACTAAGACGAGGAAAAAGTCAGCGTGTGACAGATCACAAGTTGTGCAATATGAAAAATTTGGTAAATCCAGTCACAATTACAGGACATAAAATAACATGGTGCCACTTAACCAAAAAGATGGAAAATTGAAAGTAAAGATACAACCTAAGCATTTCAAATAGCTTAGCATAATTCATTTAGATGACGATTTTCATTATATTTTCAAATTCTTTCATTGGTGATTCATGACCCGGGTCTTGTTGGATTATATGAATTGAAAATTTGATGCAGTGACCTTAGTATATTGTTATGAAATTTTGAATTCATTTTGTCACTTTACCATTTATGATATGTAAACACGATATTGAATGTGAAATATGGAAGGAATTATATTGTGTTGTATGTGGACATATTTAGTTTAATATTTCATGTTATGACACATTTTTTGGTCTATACGTTCAGTTATTAATTGTGAGTTTGTTTCTTATAATTGTGACCATTTGTGACTTTGTCTATGAATATTGTGACCCTTTGTGATCGATTATTTAGGAATAAATGCTACAGTTTATTGCTTGAGTCTGACTCACTGTGACCTCATTGTGTAAGATGATTAAATTGCTATATTTAAACTCTAAGTATCTTTGACCTATTTAGTAACTGTATTTTGCTCT